GGACTAAAGTCATATTTTTTGAAATTACAGGAACGAAAAGACTAATTTTAAATTTGAGAGACTAAAATATATTTTAAGCCTAAAATAAATATGTTGTATTGTTACAATATTATCAACCCAAAAGCTCAAAATATATTAATGAGCAAGAGTGACACAAAGTATTATTCTAAACTCTAGTCGAGTCACAAGTTAAAAAACACAAAATTCATTATCCAACTTCGTACAGTGCAGAATTTTGGTCGGGTTGGATCGGATCTAATGGGTGTTAAGTTAGACGAAGACGAAAACAATTTTCAGCAAGGTTTTGAATGAGACAAATATAATACATGTTGTTATTTCTAACAAGTGTGTTAGTGTTTTAGATATAAGTACAAGAAAGTTGAAGAATAGAGGATATGCATGTATTACCATCCACACTAGAACCAAGAGATATGAGCTAAGCACTAGATAAAGGCTGATCAAATGAAGGGAATACAACAGACGAAGACACCCACAAACATAGACACAAAAGAAATAAAGAACAGGACACGAGCAACCAAGATGAAGGGCAAAAGCTAACAAGACATCAGATGAGGAGATCCAACGAAATCAAGGCCAACACAAGAAGGAAAATAATGAAGCCTCAGATGATACAAGACCATGGACGATGACAGCTGACTAAACAGAGACTCAAATACACAAACGAAGACCAAGAAGGTTGGATTGCGTCTAAAGTCACAACGAGAATAACTACCTAGCATCCACACTCTTAGAAGAACACACGAAGTCATCAAAATAGAAGAAGAGAGAATAACAAAATAGGACTAGCGCTTATCCACAAATCAAAGTTGCATGTGTCAGAGCAAATACACCTACCAGTCAGCAAAGGACAACGCCTTTGTACGTACAACACCAAGAAAGTACAGAGATATCTAGGTCATGATTAATGCCAGATATAGAAGCAAACAAACGGTACAATAAGACTTTGTGAAATCCAGATTCAACAAGCAAACATTTAATGCAAGATCAGATGCATTAAATGTAAGAATCCACGAAGCCTGTGCAAACTAAATAAGAGAATCAGATGATGGTTAGTCAAACATCAAAACGAGGTCAGATCGCGGACGAAAGAACATTCAACAAATACCAAAAAGAGACATTGGAGTATCAGAAGAAAAGCCAAAACGAGACCAAACCTGGAACAAGAAAAGTTGTGTTGAACATAAGAAGAAGCCAGATGGTCAACTCTGTTAAAAGAACAGTCAAGGCAAGGCACATCATGAGAACCAGACAATTCAAGCCAATTGAACAGACAAAATATAATATGTGCACCATACGACTATGAGTCCAATATCAAATGGATGTGTGTCAAGAACAACCTCCAGTACAACGTGAAGAAATGGACCAAGCGTGAGACAAAGATAAGAAGAAAGTCAACCATGCATCAGACGAAGGACAACACAGATTGAAAGATACTCCAGGCGGAAACAATGTCTGTCTATTCACATTGTTGACTAGATCAAAGAAAAAGCAAAACATTAAACTGAGACGTGAGACAAAGGTCAAGATTGAGATGCACAGAACCAACAGACGAAGACGAAGACTACCACGCAAGCAATTAAAGAATCAAGTCTCAAGAGACAAACCAAGGCATCGTCTACAACCACACAGAAGCTCTCAACATAAAACGCGTGATCTAAATGAAGAAACGAAGAATAAGAGAAGCACGCAAAAGCAAAAGCATGTATATGTCAGAAAAAGTGCATTACTTTTTCAGAAAAGGACAATGGCTATATTGCTACATGACCAGAAAAAGACAAATAACTTCTAGGTCTCAGATAAAGACAAACATTACTGGCAACAAGACAGAGAAGAATACACGCAATATATAAAAATAGAAAGCAACATTTAATGCAAGACCAAATGCATTAAATGAAAGGATCAAACTAGCCATGAACAACTATATCAGCTTCAACGGACATATGCAACGGGTAAATTTTTCAAGGCCTATAAGTATGCAATAACCTCAAACCAAAAAAGGTTGGCAAGAAGTAACGAAAAAATGACTATAGGCATTGCCCTAGGCTTTTAGCATTAAGCTCCAAAAGTATTATCAAGCCCAAAAGAAAATAGAGAGATCAGAGATCGATTCTTCATAGTCAAATCTACAATGTATCATTGTATTCGTCTTTGTAGTCTAAGGTGTTCCAAGTGTATCTTAGGAAGAAAACCTTAGTGAGTGTTATAACCTTATGTATCCTCTTTGTAAAGAGTAACCCACACACTCAGAATCTCTATAGGACTAAGGTAGTTAAACCTTAGAGAGTGTAAACCATATATGTATCCTCTCTGTGAGAGTAACCCAAATACTCAAACCTGATTATACGTCTATCATCTGTAAGCCTGAAGAGGCTAAGTAAAGAATACTTGTAAAGCCTGGAGAGGCTAGTCAAAGAATACTCACTATTAGCCAGAAGTGGCTGATAAGAATATACTAGTGTCGACAAGTGAAGCTGACGGGCCAGGAGGTGGTTGAGAATACTCACTGCTAGCTAGAAGTGGTTGATAAGAAAATACTAGCGCTGGTGAGTGAAGCTGGCGGGCCAGGAGTGGTTGAGAATACTTGGGAAACCTGAAGTGGTTTAAGAATACTAGAGCTGGTGAGTGAAGTTAGCCAACCAGGAGTGGTTGAGAATACTCGTGACCAGGAGTGGCCATGATCAGGATGGTCTAAAATACTCAAGACCTGGAAAGGTCGAGAATACTTGGACCAGGATTGGTTCTGACCTGGGTGGTCCATAATACTCATTGTTAGCCTGAAGAGGCTGATAAGAAGATACTAGCGTTGATGAGTGAAGTCAACAGGCCAAAAGTGGTCAACAATACTTTTGTACTTAATTGCACATTTAGTGGAACCCTTTAGTTGAATGAGACTAGACGTAGCTCAGTTGAGCGAACCAATATAAAAATGATTGCATTGTTTTATTTATACTTCAGACACAAACTCTTCTTAATTGACAAATCAGGTTAAAAAATTCGTGTACTGTGTATTCTTCATTAAAACCATTTTTCAGACGAAGACACAAATTTTGTTAACAAATATATTATATTGAAAAGTTTTATCTACTGCCTATCCTTAAGTGAAACTATCTTGAAAAGGAAAATGCAAGAACCTTAATTATTATTATAAATCATTTTCCTCAGCAGACGATAAATCTTTCAGATGCAATGATCTTGTGTTAAGCAAACTCTGCATAACTGTCTAGTATTTAAAAGTACATTGGATGAAGAACATTGCTCTTACGAAAATGGTTTTAAAATTCGTTTGTATCACACACACATATTCAATCCCCCCTTCTGTGTGTTTCATGTCCAACTTCAATGGGAACATTATTGTGACTGTCCCATAAATGGGAGATCCACAACAGGATATTGTGAACATTATTTTTTGGAAGAGCAAGAAACAAAGTGTTGTTGTCCGATCTAGTGCATAAGTTGAATATAGATATATGACTCTAACTACTTGTGAACTTGTGTAAATTAAACAACTCCTTCAAGAGTTAAAATTTTGTCAAGTTAAGCAAATGAAGTTATATTGTGATAATCAGATAGCCTTTCATATTGCTTCCAATATAGTGTTTCATGAAAGAACCAAACACATAAAGATTGATTGTCATTTCATTCGGGAGAAACTGCTGTCCAAAGAACATATCATCGAGTTTATCAACTCTAATGACCAGCTTGTAGACATTCTAACTAAGTCTTTAAGAGGACCTATGATTCAATTTATATATTCCAAACTTGGTGCATACAATTTATATACTTCAACTTGAGGGAGAGTGTTAAAACAATTATTTATTATACGTTGTACAACTTTATAAAAATTATTTTTTGGCCCATTGTGACCGAAGGAGTTTTGGGTCCATAGGTTGGTACCTTTTTTTGATATGTATACTTATTTTGTTATATATATATATATATATATTATGTCAAATTCAACCTATGTTTCATAGTTGATTTAATAACTTGAGATTTGAATTGTGGCAAAACTTACTGAGAGTCAAACTCAACTATGTTACATAGTTGATTTAATAACTTGATATTTAAATTGTGGCAAAAATTAGTAAGAGTCAAACTTAACTTTTATATATATATATATATATATATATATTTAAAATAAGGACAAGTAGATAAATTTTTTATAATAGTGTTTGGATAAACTTTTTTAAAATTATTTTAAAATAGCAAAATAAGAAGAAAAATTAAAATAATTTTTTTTATAAGCTAAAATTAACTTATGCATAAATAAAATCTTTTTCTAAAAAAGTTAATTAGATTTTTTTCAAATTATCTTATATATAAATTAATTTTAATTTATATTTTTTTTTGTGTTTATAAAAGAATGTACCTAAAAGTGTTTTAAGACAAATTTCCTAACTTCTTTCTTTTATTAATAAACAACTAATCATACCTTTTAAATTATTTTATTTTATTTTTATTTTATTAAATAAGTAAATGACATGACACTATTAAAAGATATGATTGGTTGTTAGTGTAAATTTGTTTTACATTAACATTGATAGTGTATAAGTAATTAACTCTAAACAAAGTACATACGAGGATGTACAGTTACCTTTAAATAAAAGAACGAGAATTATTTTTTTAGTAGCATAACTAAAAATTAATTTTAAATAAAAACTAATTTAACTCATATTTAAACAACTAAATATTTTGATGAATTCGTCTATATTTACACTATATGAAAATAATCGAGTTAAATCATAATTCTTTATTTAATTTTTATTGTATACAACAATATTCAAATTCGTGAAAGTTACAATAAAAAAAATAATTTATGACTCAATCACTAAAAATACTCATCACAAAAATAAAATAAAAACTAAAATCATATTTAAGTAGCACAAACATAGCAATATAAACACATTGAAAATAAATATAAAATTAAAAATAAAATAAATATAAACAAAAGAACCAAAAAGCCCTAAACTGTAAAACACAGTCTGGTTTTTGCTCCCTCTCTTCTCTTTCTTCCCCCTCTCAAACTCTCTCTCTTCATTTTTGTTTTTGTTTTTGTTTTTGTTTTGTTTGTTTTTTTTTTTTACATTTCTCCTTTCATAGTTTCTACTTTGATACAGATCAATCTATATCTTATACATATAAAAAAAATCAGAAAAACATCATTATGTGTTGAGAAATAACAACGGATCACATTTTTTTTGAGCTTGTTTTCGTTTGCATCATCACACCAATAATAATCACTGAGCCCCTCTTTTTCTCTCTTTGTTATACCCAATAGGAAATTGGAATTCGCTCTTCTTTCTTTCTTTTCTTTTTTTTGAAATTTTATTTTTGGGTTTGGAAGTGTTGTGGCAAAAAAAGATGAGCGGTGGCGGGTTGAGGGGTTCAATCCCAAGCGGTGTGAGGAAGACGATCCAGAACATAAAGGAGATAACGGGTAACCACAGTGAGGATGAGATTTATGCAATGCTCAAGGAGTGTTCCATGGATCCCAACGAGACTACACATAAGCTTCTCCTTCAGGGTACCAATTTCATCATCACCATCATGCTTTTGATCTTTGGTTTTGTTTAGATGAAGTTTCCATTTTTGTAATACCCTTTTGGTTTTTGTGAGGTTTGGTGTAGCTTGGCTTATACAAATATCACTTCTGTTATGATAAGTTGTTTTGTCTTTTTTTTACTCCCCCACTCCTCTTTTTTTTTTTCTTTTTTTTTTTTTGTTTGTTTTGTTTTTTCAATAAACAGAGAATAAGTGATCTTCCAGTACACCTATCATCTGTATGCATGTATGCGGTATGATGCACCTAATTCTATT